GGGGCCGACGTTTGTGGTCGCGTCCCGACTGTCAGCTTGACGGACGCGTCCCGGGAGGCCTCGGTCCAGAGGTTCCATCTGCGCTTATTAAACGCGGCCGTTAGAAAGGAAATCGCAGCAAACGTCCCCACTGAGGAACCTTGTTAAAGTCCCTTCTTCCAGCCATCCTTTTCCATCACAACGCGCCACGCAGAGGAAGATCCAGATGTGCGCTCATAGAGGTGCACTCGCTTCATTTCGGATCATTTGGAGCTCATTTCCACGCCAGCGCACATCTGGCCGTTCGCAGGGAAACGAGTGTCGCTTCGCCAATTAGGGCAAATGACACAGATGGTTAAACACAGATACGACCTCTGGACGCCGTGACGCTTCCAAGCGAGGTGGCGGACGGAGAACCGGAGGAGCTTTCCGTCTTCTTTAGGACGAGGGCCGTGAAGTCCTGGTTGTGTGGCACATCTTCACCAATTAGCCTTCAGCTGATTCTGTTTTAAAAGGAAGTCTGTCTTCTCTGGAATCCACAGAGTCACAGAGGTTTCATTGATTCCTTAATTGCTGCAAAAAGTATTGAATTCCTTTCATGAAGATCACTCACTCTGTTTCTAACTGAGTCAGTGAGTGTTGGAATAAACCCGGTAGGCTGAGATGAAGCTAATCTTTGCTCCATAAACTTCCACATTAGGAAACGATCGACCACATTTCAGAGGTAATTATACCAACAACGGAGGAAGCAGTTTTTCTTTTTAATCGTCTGGAAGCTTTTTGGACAAAAATGATGATTTGTTCCTGTTGCTCAAAGATTAGGAAGGACTTCTCAGCCGGGACCGGTGATGTTCCCGACGACAGCTGTGAAGATAAAACAAGTAAGAAGAAACAAAGGAAACCCGTGTTTCCACTGCAATGAAGCAAAGGGAGCCACTGGTCCCCTGCAGGGACGAGCTGAAATCCCACTTCAGCTCCGTCTCCCCGTCGGAGTGACGTGAAAAAAGAAAAGAAAACAATAATCCAATAAAGAAAATCCAAATTGCAGCGGTTTGGAAGCGTGTTTTTATATTTATTTCTCGGCGTTACATCACTTTGTGGCGTCCCGCCGGCTCTATTAGCATAATAATTATGTTGGTTCCTTTATCGCAGCAACCTGCAGTTGGTTCTGAAGTTTCAGGCCCCCCCCCCCCCCCCCCGCCCCCCCCCAGGAGAGAATCCCCCTGCCTTTGGCAAAGAGAATATTTTAAAAAGGACCTATTTTTCCGGGGGGGGGGGGGGGTAGACTTTTTTATCCCCAACCTTTATGTCCTTTTACCCCTTGGGGTAGAAAGGGGAGAAAAGGGGGGGAATTGAGGAGGGGAGGGAAAATTTTTTTTTTAAAATGGAAAAGGAGATTTCAAGAAAAATTCTTTTAAAAATTTCGTTTATTTCCCCCCCCCCCCCCCCCCCGTGGACAGCGATGAGAACATAATGATGTCCTCATAAATGAATTGATTACCATTTAACCGGCTGAGTGCGGGGGGAGCTCGGCCCGCTGAGGGTCAAAGTTCACAGCGGGTTGTTAGGGAGCCATGAGCTGTGGTACCTACTGGTAGTGGGACATAAGTGAAAATAAGGCCCACATGAATTAAATCAACGTTTTGTTGTTTAATGGTCGTGGGATTTGTTGCTGAAACTGTTCTTCCTGTTTATTTAAAGGTCGACCATGACGTCACTGATACGCCTATAATGTACATTATATTATGCATTCTCAGAGACGCGCTGTGGTGATGCAGGGGGGGAAGAAAAGGTCGTTCTTCACCATGATTACTAAGATCTTCTCACTGGGACATTTAAAGTTTCATCTGAAACTAATCAGGAATCCATTAAACTCACCCGACTGATCGCTGATTAATGCCGAGAGCTTTTAATCAGATCCGATTAATCAACCGGATTTATTGGACAAACAAAATTAATAGTTTTTCGTTCTGGTGGGAACGAATTACGTTTGCAGATTATAATTTCCGAGGCCAAAATGAATCAGCTCAACTAATAATAAAAGCACCGAAGTGCATATTATTATTGTTTGATTGCTATTGCTGCTGTTAATGTTTCTAATTATAGCACTTGTGTGTGATCTCTATTACAATATCATGCGTATATATTCGTGTGTCTGCGCTATTTGTTGTGGCTCCGGTCCGGTTCTGGTTGCTCTGCACAGAACACAAAGAGGCCGACGCACACCTGCAGATGTTGGTGCTGGGAGCAGCCGCTCAGCGAGTAATTCTCCTCTAATCGCAGTAATCTCGCCGCTGCGCCGCTCCGCATCCATTCTGTCCCATTATCCTGCAAACCTGCAGGAGGAGAAAATAACCGACTCCGAGTTCCCGTCACTTTCATTGGTTCCCAGTTTCCCTGGAACTGTCGTTCAGTCAGAGACGGGATCGAATAGCTGTAAGTGCAATATGTAGAATTTGAGTCCATTGGGTTGGAACTGAAGTGGACATCGACCTCACAGATTATTATTGGGACTGACTTTGGGTCACCGTCTTGTTTTTGAGCAATCAGTGGATGGAAGTGATCCCGGTGGAGGAGGAGTGACGTGGAGATACGGCTCTTCTGTAGGTTCTCCTGCTGCAGGAGGAGAGCCTACAGACCTCCTTCCACAGCAGGCGGCATATTGTGCAGCAATATGATTGATTATCGTTCTCCTCTGGGGTGCTGGCTGCCTTTGCAGACCCTGTACAACCTGCGACAGAGTAAATCCAAGGAAGTAAGACGAATGCTCTGCAGTCTTGATATCAGAGGGGGTTTCACAGGACATCAGTCTAATCTTCCTGCAGTCGTTTCCTCCTCTCCTGCCTCCTTCTGGGCTTTGTGCTTCACAGATAACAACGTGAGCACTTCTGATTAAGTCGCTTCCAAAGACTCAGCAGAAGCGTTTCCTCGTCCTGCAGCTGATGTGATCGTCTGTAATTCTGTGTGTTTCCGAGTGTCAATCTGCAACATAACTTCTGTGTGTGTCTGTGTGTGCGTCTGTGTGTGTCTGTGTGTGTCTGTGTGTGTCTGTGTGTGTGTGTGTGTGTGTGTGTGTGTGTGTGTGTGTGTGTGTGTGTGTGTGTGTCTGTCTGTGTGTTAGATAGCCAAGCAGCTGAGGGAGATGGCAGCCTGTCTGTCTCTGTTAGCATCTCTGCTCTGCCATGGCTTAAAGCCTACACACACACACACACACACACACACAGCGACACACACACAC